TCGGTAATTAAGGATTTTGCAGCAATTAAGCCCGGAGGCCCGGGAACTCGGATTGGTCGGCATAGGTCGGGGAAATCACTATCCACCTGAGGCAACAAGGGCTGCAACTCCACAAATGGTTCTGAGCAGGTTTTCCGGTCTCCAGCGCTACCACATGTACATGTAGCTAGTGATCCATCCATCCTTGCATCCATCCGTCCGTCCTTCCACGCATCCATACATCCACACTATCCAGACATCTATATATCCATAAACCAAATACATACACACATTCATACAGACAGACATACATACATACACACGTGCATACATACATGGTACATAAATACACATCTGCATATGCATATGCATATATGTATACACTGATACACAAAAACACGTCAGCCAATCAGCCCCTATGAAACCTAAAACCTGTAGCCTTTTAAAGCCCTACGTTACCTAAGGGCTATAGGCTATAGAGTGAAGTGAAGGGCCTGAAGGCAAACTGCGAAGGTTTTGGGGGGTTTGGAGTTTGGAGCTTAGGGTTTAGGCGAGGGCCGAGGCGGTCGAAGGGCCAGTGTCAGACTTTGGGCTAGGCGCTCGTCTAAAGTTTAGTTTGGAGTGTCGCTTTAGGCCCTTTCTAAACTCCTAAGCCTAAACCGAAACCCTAAACTCCTAAACCCAGAAGCTCTCAACCTTAAACTCCCTAACCCATAAATCCAGCCCAAAAGCCCCCAAACCAGGGCTTATCAACATCCTTATGTCCTTATAGCATAGGACTATAGTATCCGGTATCAGTATAATATACCCAAAACTGTTGTGACAAATCCAACGACCCCAACACTGTTTGACTATACTGACTGCACCCTAGAATGTACAGATAGGCCGCCAAATGTAAGTGCAGCCCAATGTACATACCCTCAATCCTTAATTGCTACACTCACGGGGGGGTTTCGGAAATCCACAACGCTTACCCCCTTATAAAACTGAAAGTTTAGGGTTTAGGGTTCAGGGCCCCTATAAAACTGAAAGTTTGAATTCTGCTGGGTTTATGAACTCAGCAACTAAGACGATCTCCTGAATCTCCGACCCGCTCAAGCCCAAATGGGCTAGCTTTGGGGAATCCTCAACAATAAACTTCCCGCAGAACGGATCTTCATGCGGGCTCAGCAAGGTCTATAGGTCTAGGATTTTGTTGGGGGTGATTCGGTTTGGGTTTCAGGGTTTAAGGTTTAGGGTTCAGAGTTTTTAGGGATTCGGTTTGAGGCTGAGCTCAGGGTTTCAATCCATTTTCCGTGGCATTTCAGCCCTTTGCTGACCCGGGGACTCTGAGAAATTTATGAGGTTCAACCCGAGTCCCCCTTCTGCCCTCTTTTTTGAGGTTAGCAGCTCCTTTTTTTGGATTACCTCATAGGATTCTATGTATACACCACAAAAAGGAACTACCTAGGAGCCTATGGGTAAGACCACCGGGAGCCTGAAGCGCTAAGCGAACAACCCAATCCACACATCTCCCATCCGAGTTCCATGCGCAGAAGCACCCAAACCCTAGAACCCTAGACCCTAAACCTTTATAAGCCCTGAGCCCTAAACCCTAAACCCCAGACCCTAAAACCCTAAACCCTAGACCCTAAACCCTAAACCCCGTTCCCCTTCCGAGGTTCATGCAAAAGCACCTGTCCCTCGCCAAGGGGCAGGACTACAACAAGAGCAAGCTTGTGTCCGGCCCCCACGGTTTACCTTAAGCTACCAGAACCGACTTTTTTGTAGGTTCTTATGTTTTACCCTAATATGGAATTCATAGGGACCCTACAAAAAAGTAAGTTTTGGTGGGTTAAGGTAGGGTTTAGTGGCATAGGGGTTTGGGGTTTACGGTTTAGGGTTTAGGGGCTCAGTTTTAGGGGCTTAGGGCTTTAGGGTTTAGGGTTTAGAGTTTTAGGGGCTTAGGGTTGAAACAGAGGCAGTCGAGACCGAATATCACAGCACGAGTCGTAAAGCCGAACAACATCGACCGGGAATGGTAGAGTGAGCCCGGGGTAGAAGTACAGCAAAATGGCTCGCAGCAGCAAGCACCGTCGAACTCATGAGCATGCTACTGTTCAAGAACTATGGTGATTCCTGTGAGCTGTCCGGGGAAAAGTAATAAAAGTTCTTACACGAGCCGGTAAAGGTCTGGAATAGCAAACAGAGCAGCACCCTATATACGTAGCCTAAGTAGGAGGACATGTGCTTCGTTCAGGGGTTGTCGGTTTAAGGGTTCGGGTTTAAGAACCTAAAACTTGGAGCCAAAAACAACCCTACACCCGAGGTCCATGTAGGATTTTGGGCTTATGGGTGTTTAAATTTTTTAGTGTTGTTCTTACGGCTTAGGGTAGGGGATGTGGGTACCACCTGTCTTCCTCCTTTGCACTCACTCAGGGTGACGCTGATGCACATCTTCGATGGTGCTGTCCTGCATACCCACAAGGCAGGCACCAAATGTTCACTCTAAACATCCCTGTACCCTAACTCCACGCCCAACCCTGGACCGTGGTCCGGTTCATTTTGGAAGCCGTGCTTTACCAAGGTGGCCGGGCAGGGTTTAAGGTATGACATTCAAAACCAGCTGTCACTTGTATTTAACTTTGCATTTTGTTGGGATTGCACCCTAAACCCTAGCTTACATATTCCGGACCATGCCGCGTGCTGCTTCCTCAACGACACAAGGGGTTTCGGGGCAGCCCGGGCCCGAACTCCAAGAATTGTAATTGGGTTTAGGACCGTAGGATTTGGGGTTTACTGCCCAAGCCCTCAACGCTCTAATTGGGTTTAGGGTTTAGGAGTTTAGGGCTTAGGGTTAGGTCCGAACACTGCAACCACCAAAAATACTCAAAACCACACAGCACCGAACCATTTTCACAAGAATGGAAGGGTAGTATTCACAGTGATAGTATGTTCCCTAGTCGTGGTAAGTAAGACAGCACAATCATTTTTTTTAAGTTGTAAGACGTCGTTAGTATCTGCTTTTTCAAGGTTTCCCTAAGGTGTCCGACTTCCTCAAATTCCGTCCTTCTTGCAGGTGAGATGTGTGCAGTTCCTGTGGTTCTACCTGTCGAACCTGGATGTGACCTATGCAGAGGTGCGGGCACTGACTGTTCGGTTTATGGCTTAAGTGTTTAAATGTGTTTGGGATTCATAGCTGTATGCCGTAATAACCCTAAACCCCTATGCCCTAAACCCTAAATCCTGGTGGGTGATGGTGTTGGCCGTGGGGGTGGGAGAACAGCCGCCAGCAACGAGTTGAAACTGAAGGTTGCTGTGCCTGTTCAATCCGTGGCAAGTGCCAGGAGTCTGAGATGATGCTGTATTTGTTTCAGGCTTCGGGTCTAGAGTTCAGGTCAATCACAATCCGAACCTGAGGCCTGGATTGCTGCAGATGTTTCTGGGTTCAGACTACTTATTACAGTTTATCCGGAGGCCTGAGGCGTAGAGTGTCATGTTTAGGTCTTCGGCTTAGCATGTTGGGGCGGAGGCCCCTTCACCCTAAGCCCAAACCGCAGCGAGGATGTACAGTTGAGAATCAGGCTTCGGCTAGCATTCTCGTTCTGCACGGAAACTCCGAGCCACAAAGCATGGAAGCCAGCACAGTGCACCCCTCAACTGTAACACACTGTTTTCAGATTGAAACCACAAAATAGACTCCCGATCGCTATGGCCAAAATCCATTCCAAGTCCTAAACCCTAAGCCCTGCGAGGCTTTCCTGGCAGTTCTTCTCCAGGTGGCCTATAATGCACGGGAGGCCGGCGCCTGGTTTAGGGTTTAGGGTGTAGGGTTTGGGGTTTAGGGTTTAGGGTTTATCATGACCATGACCACTCCCTGGTTCTTAGTAGGGAAAGGGGGAATGGATCCCTATTATGGCCCCTTAAGGTTTTTTTATAGTAGCCCCAACACCCCATTCCCCCATTCCCTACTAAGAACCAGGGAGATGACCATGACCAATGAGTTCCATCTCCGTCGAGCAGCACTTCAATCATGGCTGTCGGTACTTTCCTTCTGCTATCCCTATCGTCAGTCTTGTTGTTGGAATTGTCAGCATTACTTTTGCGAGTATTGTGTTTTCGCTGTTGGTTTCTGGGCTTCTGAGCTCTTTCATCAAGCCAAGCTGCAGTTAAGTGAGTTTTGTTTTTTCTGGATGTTTGTAGCATGCTGCTAGTATCAGTTCGCAACTACCATTTCCATGTTCTAACCATGCCCATCCCCCTAGGCCACCCGAAGACCCAAAACCATAACAACCTATACCTCAACCCTAAACACACCGAAATACCCATAGGAAAGACCCACTTGAAGAACCCAAACCCATAACAACCTATACCTCAACCCTAACCTGGCCAAAACACCCATAGTAAGACCCACCTAATGGAACCACTAGAAGAAACATACACCACCACGTAGAAAAAGCCCAACCTCAACCCCATAGACCCGCACCCCCCGTAGAAAAACCATGCTCCCCAGCCCGAAATCCCCAACCCTTGAAAATGGAAATGGTAGTCTCTAATAAAATATCTATAATAGGAATAAGGTTTGGGTTCAAGGTCGAACAGAACTAGAACGATGCTTGTAGCATAGCATGAGCTACTTGTCTAAAATCCGTTTACAGCATTGAGGAAGTGTCTAATGGTCTCCTGCATCCATTTCTCAATGGCCATGAAAGCTGGCCTGGCATTTGCCGCGTTCTTTTGGGCACAAAGGGCGCCATTCCAGTCTTTTCTTGCCGACCGTCCTGGCTCCTGGTGCGTTCCCACACTGGGTCAGTCACGTTTCGCGGGGCCACGCAAGATGAACAGACGGACTCGGACTTGCGCATTCCCACCACGTTCCGGAGATGTTCGAGTTTCCAACAGTTGTGTAGTGAGGAAGAGCGTATTCAGCGGACATGTGCAGCGCGGTTTGCCACCAGATTTCGTTCCAGTTTCAGTAGTCTCAGTGGGCGGCCTTCATACTTGTGCAATGCGGGCAGATGGTCAGCTCGTGTGCTTTGGAGGATGCAACGTTTTTGGGCAGCGTGACGTCCCAGCAGATTTGGGACCAGTTTTGGCAGTCTCAGCAGGCCTTTCGCATACTTGTGCAGTCCGGTCAGATGGTCAGCTCGTATGCTTTGGACACAACGATTATGGACAGTGTGACGTGCCAGCAGATTTGGGACCAGTTTTGGCAGTCTCAGGGGGCGATTTTTATACTTGTGCAATTCGGGCAGATGGTCAGCTCGTATGCTTTGGACGCGATGGTGATGGGCCGAGTGACGTGCCAGCAGATTTGGGACCAGTTTTGGCAGTCGCAGCGGGCGGTTTGCATACTTGTGCAATTCGGGCAGATGGCCAGCTCGTCTGCTTTGAATACCAGAGCAGGGGTGGGTGGAGTGACGCGCCAGCAGACTTGGGACCTGTTTTGGCAGTGGCAGCAGGCAGTCTTCATACTTGTGCAGTGCGGTCAGATGGTCAGCTCGTATGCTTTGGACACAACGATTATGGACGGTGTGACGTGCCAGCAGATTTGGGACCAGTTTTGGCAGTCTCAGGGGGCGATTTTTATACTTGTGCAGTGCGGTCAGATGGTCAGCTCGTCTGCTTTGGACGAAACGACTATGGACAGTGTGACGTGCCAGCAGATTTGGGACCAGTTTTGGCGATCTCAGCGGGCGATAATCATGTTTGTGCAGTGCGAGCAGATGGTCAGCTCGTATGCTTTGGACGCAATGATGATGGACAGTGTTACGTGCCAGAAAATTTGGCACCAGTTTAGCGGGTCATTGTCATACCTGTGCTACGCGGAGGGGACAGATGGTCAGCTTGTCTGCTTTGGAGACAACTTTTAATTATGGGAAGAGTCGAGTCCGGCGATCATGAAGAAAATGGAGAGTGCTCACCCTCAAACCTCCAGCAACTCAAATCGCAAATGCTGTCTATCGTTACCTTCAACTCTATATTAGTTTTGACCCAACTTATACTTAATGTTTTCTATTGTATAAAAATTTTGGCTGTAATTTCCGACCCTTTCTTTTTCATGTTGTTTTCGTTTCCTAAATATCTTAACCTTATCCCCTACACCTACGTAGTTCAGGATATACACGGTTCTTCTTTCACTTCGTTGTTAAATTTTTTCACTTTGAATTCATTATTGGGTTTTCGGGCTTCTTTTGGCGTAAATCCCGTTGCCGAGTGCTTCATTTGATGATTATAGGTTAGCAATATTTCTAATATGTAATCTGGCCATTGGATGTCTTGATTCCTTTTTTCTCATCTGCTTCAACTCTACGAAATAATAAATCTGTAAAAGTTCTGATGGCTCTTTCGCTAAAATTTGGGTGCGCCCTCGTTCTATGATGTTCTATGTTCTCGTCCTT